CCTGGCCAATCAGTCGGCAGCAGCCATCGTCGACGCCTTTGTCCAAGGTTATGTCATGGACAAAGGTGCTCCGGAGCGGCTGCTGACCGACCAGGGTAAAAAATTTTCCGGAAAACTCCTCCAACAGGTCTGTGAGCTCCTGGGAACGAAACAAATTCGTACCTCCCCCTATCACCCGCAAACTGACGGGATGGTCGAGCGTCTGCATCGCACCATCTCGTCTATGTTGTCACAGCAGGTTTCGGACTCACAGACCGATTGGGACTTGCAAATTTATGGGGTCTTGGCAGCATACAGATTGGCCCCCCATGCTGCAACAGGATTTTCACCCTTCTTCCTCATGTATGGCCGCGATCCTGACCCACCTGTTCGGGCGCAGCTGCAGATCCCCACGCCGCTGGGTAAAACTAAATTAGTTGACCATGTTAAATTCAACCTTGCTAAATTGGCTGAGGCACGGGATGCTGCCATGCTAAATTCCAACCAGCGTCAGAAAGCAAATGAGCGCATCAGACTGGGTCGCGCGCACGTGCTGCAGTGGAAGCCGGGGGACAGGGCATGGCTGCACTGCCCCCAGGTACCACTCGCGACATCCTCTAAACTGGTGCGGCCGTGGCGGGGTCCTGTCGAGGTGGTCGAGGTTTTGCGGCCTCAGTGCGTTCGCATCAAATGGGGGAAGCGCCGGTGGTTTGTGCACCCCTCGAGACTTAAACCATTCGTTGCGGTGCGAGGCCCCACTCCACACACGCGTGGCCAAACATGTGGGGGGTCGGCCGACTCAAAGGGTCCGTCTCGGCTGCTCTCGCCTGACGTGTTGCCGGCTGTCCCGCCCACAGGTGCACCGGGATTGACGGGCTCGCACCCAACCACCTCTACGGGGGATGCCGAGGGTCTCGCGACGTCAAGCGCGGACTCACTGCAGAATGGACAGCTGCCACCGGACGGTCCGCCATCCGGGGTTGCCCCGTGTGACGGGCCTGCAGCAAGGACGCGCGCAAAAATGCGCAGACTCTTGTGATGCATTAAAAGGAAATTTATTTCTCTCGTGTACGGTTGCGGGGTGCTGCGTCGGTGGGGTGCTCCTGCCACATTGTGTTGTGTTGTGTTGCGTGTGTGCTAGGGGTTCCTTGCTAAAATTGTATATACGTCGCTCTTACGGAATTCGTATTTATTCAGGGGGGGTGCGTCAGGTTGTTTTCCCTTCGGGGTTTGTTGGTTCTTGTTGTTGTTCTCTTCACGTTATGGTTAAAATTGTTTTTTTGAGGCACACGCGGAGGTCAAGGGGTTAATAAACCTTTATTGAAGTTGTTGCAGCCGGGACGGCTGCGAGCTGTACAGGGGGGGGTGATGTAGGGCTGTTACAGAGGGGCTGTTTGTGTAGGGCTGTATGCATAGGATCAAACGGGTAACAAACACAGTGGGCGGGGCTCCGTCAGTACACGGGGAGGTGCCCGCAACGACGTCCGCACCGGGCGGCTTGGGGGGGCTGCCCGTGGGGGGGGGTTGTGATCCTCTGGGGGGGTATAAAAGGGGATGAGCCAGAGAGCTCGGGGTTCAGTCTTAGAGTAAATAGGGGAAGACGGAAGATCGACCAGCTAGGCCCTGGACTCCCCTGGGACGCCGCCCTTATCAGGGCCGCGCAGGACCGAGCCAGTGGCGTGGTCCCGTGAACCAGAGTTAGTACTCTGGGACTCCGGGTACCGTAGCCCGACTGACCAGTGTCGGGCCAGATAGCCTCCCCGTTAGTGGAGGACTAGGGATAGGTCAGGGGTAGCTAATAGAATATTCCCAGCTATCCGGGTGAGGGGGCCGATACACCCCTCTAGTATTCTACGACTACTTGTATAAATAAATACGTGTGCCTTACAACGGTGTCCAAGCGTCCTCAACGGTACTTCACTTGTAAGAGGCTCGGTTGAGTTTGTGGGTAGTAGTGGATGGTTGAGTTAGTGGATGCTTGAGTTAGTGGGAACTTGAGTTGATGGGTGGTTGAATTATTGGGTGTTTGAATTATTGGGTGGTTGAGTGATGGGTGGGTGAATAATTATGTGGTTAGTGGGTGAGTAGCTGAGTAGCTGAGGGAGTTGTTGGGTGTGTGTGTGGGTTAAAATTGAGTAGGTGACATGGTGAGTGGATGTGTATTTGACTGGGTGAGTAGGTGAGTGGCTAGGTGAGTATGTGAGTGGATTAATGAGTGAGTGGATGAGGGGGTGTGTGTGTGTGAGTGGGTGAGTGTGTGGGTAGGTTAGGTGGGTAGTGGGTGGGTTAGAAATTTAGTGAGTGGGTTAGTGATTGGGTGAGTGAGTGGGTGGGTGAGTTGTGGTTGAAAGAGTCAGTTTCAGAGTGAGTTGATGGGTTAGAGATTGACTCGCTCAGTGAGTGCTGGGTGGGTTAGTGAGTTATTGGGTAGGTGAGTTGGTGTTACTGTGTGGGTGCTTGACTGGGTGGCTGGGTGTCCAAATTAACGGGTGTGAGTCGGTGAGTGGGTTAGAGATTGAGTGAGTCATTGTATGATTGAGTGGGTGAGTGGATGGGTGAGTAACTGAGTGGGTGGGTGAGTGTTTGGGTGGGTTCATTAGTGAGTGGATGGGTTATTGAGTGAGAGGGTGGGTATTTGAGTAAGTGGTGTGAGTGAACAGATGAATGGGTGGGTGGTTGAGTGGGTGGTTGGGTGAGTGGGTGAGTGACTGGTGGGTGGGTAAGTTAATGTGGGAGGTTGAGTGGGTAAGTTAGTAGGTGGGTGAGTGGGTTGGTGAGTCAGAGTGGGGCACCACGGTGGTGGGATATTAACTACCTCGCCTAGTATACAGGCAGTCATGGATTCCATCCTGACCCTGTCGACTATATATTTGGAATGTGCTTGTTCTCCCCGTGGTCACGTGGATTTTTCTCCGGGTCCTTGGGGTTTTACCTCTGCATTGAGAATAAACATGCATTCAGAGGATTTGGCTGCAATACATGGAGATGTGATAAGCCACTTTATAACAAGGTCGCTTTTGAAAAAAAATCTATATAGCTGTGGGCCTTAGCTTGTACAATTAGAAATAGTTTAGTTTTAGTTTATTGGGTGCGTGAGTGGGTAGGTGAGTGATTGAGTGCGTGGGTGGTTAGGTGGGTGTGTTAGTAGGGGAGTGAATAGGTGAGTGGGTGGGTAGGTGGGTGCACAGGTAAGTTCTTGAGTGGCTTGGTGTGTAGATGAGTGAGTGGCTTAGCGGTTGAGTGGATGGCAGGGTGAGTGGGATTGCGAGTGGGTGAGTGTATGGGTGGCTTTAGTAGTTGAGTGGGTGGGTAAGTCAGATAAAGAGGCACCACAGTGGCGAGATGTTAACTCCCTCGCTTGGTATATTGGACATAATAAAAAAGAAACTCATGGATGACATTGGTCGCGAAAGCCGACGTATTAAACTGGTATATTGGATTTCGTAGGTTTGACCCCAACCATGATGCCTGTATATTTTGAGTTTGCATGTTCTCCCTGTGGTCTCTCTGGGGTTTCCCTTCACATTTATAGGATATTGGCTGCTATAAATGTTTACGTGATAACTCTCTTCGTTAAACTATCATTTGTAGCCAGGTCGCTTCTGAAAAATATCTATATAGCTCATTGGGCCTTGCCTAGTAAAATAAAAACAAGTTTAGTTTTTGGTTCGTGGGTGAGTGGTTTGGTGGTTGGGTGGTTAAATGGGGGTTGGGTGGTTGAGTTGGTGGGTGGGTCATTGTGTGAGTGGATGGGTATTTGAGTACGTGGTGTGAGTGAGTAGGTGAATGGTTGGGTGAGTCAGAGAATGGGGCACCACGGTGCCCACCTGATATACAGGTGGGCATGGACTTGATCCCGGCCCTGCCGCCTGTATATTTGAAGTTTGCCTATTTTCCCCGAGGTCACCTGGATTTTTCTCCGGGTTCTCCGGGCTTTTCCTCCACATTTAGAAACATGCATTTATAGGATTTGGCTGCTATAATTTTCCGCGTGATAAGCCACTTAGTTAAGCTATCATTTGTGGCCAGGTTGCTTCTGAAAATATTTATATAGCTCTGTGGGCCTTACCTTGTAAAATAAAAAATTGTTTAATTTCGTTTATTGGGTGGGTGAGTGGGATGTTGAGTGCATGGGTGGGTGGGCGTGTGATTGGGGGAGTGAATAGGTGAGTGGGTGGGTGAGTCGATTGTTGAGTGGGTGGGTGAGTCGATTGTTGAGTGAGTGGGTTAGTGGATGGGTGAGTGAGTAGGTTGTTGGGTGAGTGTGTGGGTTGGTGGGTGATTTAATAAGTGGGTGAGTGAGGGGCAGGGTGAATGATTGGGTGGTGGGTGAGTGGATGAGTTGTTTTGAGTAGGGTGATTGATTGCGAATGGGTGATTGAGTTTGTGGGTGGGTAGGTGAGTGGGTGAATGGGTGTATTGGTAAGTGAGCGTGTGAGTTAGTCGGTACGATGATTGAGCGGGTGGCTGCCTGAGTGCGGAGAAGATGGGTGGTTAAGTTAGTGGGTAGGTGAGTTGGTGGGTGGTTGAGTGAGTGGGTGGGCGAGTGAGTTAGTGGGTGAGTTTGTGAATAGTTAAGGTGAGTGACTAGGTGGGTCAGTGTGTGAGTGGGTGCGGGAGTGGGTGAGAGGTGGGTTGGTGATTTGGTGAGAGGATGAGTGATTTGGTGGGTTATAGATTCAATGGGTGGGTGAGTGAGTGAATGGGTTAGAGATTTAGTGGGTGGGTGAGGTAGTGAGTGGGTGCATGGTTGGGCGGGTGATTGAGTTAGTGGGTGGGTGGATGGGTGAGGGAATATGGGAGGTTGAGTGGGTGAGTTAGTGTGTGGGTTGGTGAGTCAGTGTGAGGCACCGCGGTGGCGAGATGTTAACTACCTCGCCTAGTAGTATGCTATACAGCATATACATTGTTCACACCCACAACTTCACTCCATATGTACTGTATATGTAGTGTTGACAAAATAGGCAGACTTCCCTTTGTAGGCAACACCGTTTATTCGCTCTAAAGACTAAGAGCGTCCCTAACATGGAGAGGTATCGGCCTTAATTCTAGATTTGAAGCTTTCGTGACTGCAAGGATTCATATTCTTAGGTTTTTTCGGTAAAGTCACGTAGGTAAAAACATAAAAATGAATGAAAATAAAATAAAACAAAAAATCACGATGTGTTGCCTCCGAAACGTCGTGATTTTTTGTTTTATTTTATTTTCATTAATTTTGATGTTTTTACCTACGTGACTTTACCGAAAAAACCTAAGAATAGGTATCTGCCTCTCCCACCCGATAGCCTAGAGGATACGTCCTCACACTTAGTGTGCCCTCACACTATTCTCTGCTATCGGGAATTCCTCCGCTAAGGGACCTAGGGGAGGCTATGCTCACCCGACCTTGTCAGGGTAACGGGTGCCGCCACTGGGCCGTTCGGACCTGGCCCTGACAAGGGCCGGGGGTCGGAAGTGCCAGGGCGCTATCTAGATGAATTCGGGTCTTGAGGTGAGTGTGGACTGACTCACGCTGGGAGAGCTGCCCTTTTTATACTCCTCTCTCCCAACCGCCCTCTCTCGAGAGAGGCTTGGAATTGAACTCAGCCAGCGGGATTATGGTGCAATACAGAAAACCACTGCACCACCACTCCACACTAACACAGCTGAACTGAAGCGATGGTGATATCTGAAATAGTTCTGAGCTCCCTTTTCACCAACTTACACTCATCAACGTAGAAAAGTATGGTCAAACAACCTCCATGACTGACACAGTGTGTGGAGGGCTTCATGTCGTAGTGGATTGACAAAGGGGCTGTAAATAATTATACTTAGTCTTCAACATTCACTTTACAACAACTGAGGTTTTGAGGAGATTCTTGTACAAAAAAAGGCGGCTGTAGCGGGAGTGAATCCGTTGACTCTGCGCACAGCTTGGTGGACTCCACCAAGCCGCTGCAACCCCCGGGCAGATCTCAATAAACGTTCAAATGCCGCATCTGTGGTGAATAGCGTTTTTGATTTAATGCTGACTGGACATAATGACAGCTGTCCGACTCTAGTTTTGCGCGGATCCCACAGCCATCACTCTGTGGCCCGCATCCGTGGAAGCTCGCAAACGGAATGCCCAGTGGTCCTCTTGGCGGTGCTGCCCTGTCGCTTAGTCTGGCATGAGCTCAAGCAGCTCCGAGTCCGACAGTCCGTTAGCAGATATGATCCGGTCGAGCTCACGCTGGTAGCTCTCGGGATTACGTAGGAAGTGCGGCAGCCGCGTCTTCTCTGCTGTGGCCAGCGGACGCAGCCGCTCCACGTCCTCGATGGAGACCTGCCAGAGGGGGCCCGGAGTCGGCTCAGTGGTGACGGTGCAAGCGAGAGTTCGGAGGGCCGAGAAATATAGCTTCAGTGCTTGGCTACCAAGAGTCACTCATAAACCAATGGAACATCGAGCACTGCCTCTGGAGCAATGTTTCTAAATGCCAGCCCTCGTGACCTCCCAGGGAACAGCTTTACATGATTGCAAATCGTCATGTGCACAAAATACGTCGTGGTTTAATTTGCAGATGAATTGAAAAAAAAACCCTGGGCATAGGACGAGTTTGGAATCATTGCTCTTGACCATCCAGCACTACCACGACACACTGTGCATCAATACCAGGCCAACACAACACTAATGCTAATGCTACAAGACCATGACATCAACATTTTCTCAGTTTACATTGTTTAATTATATTAGCATTACTCTTCTTTCCATCACCAGTAAGACCCACCAGATTATCTGGTGTTTGGTCATAACATTGACATCAAACCTTTGCATGTGCACGAGCATGTACGTGTGTGCACATATACGTACACTTATGTGTATCCTTGTGTGCGTGCATGCATACGTGTGAGCACATGGGCTCGTGTGTGCATGTGTGTGTACGTATCGATAACCATGCACGCTTGCATTGACGAGCATGAACTCGCCTTGCCCAGGGTGTAGAGCATCTGGAAGTCAATGGAGCGGCGGTGGCGCAGGATGGCGAGGACGCCCGTCAGGTAAACCTGGTCTTTGTTGAAGCAGCCTGGAGCCCGAAAACACGGTCGTGCCACCCGGCATTAGCCCAACCGCGTGACCATCGCGGAAGCCGCATACTCGCTACCTACGGATACAATGAAGTCGTTGCTTAACGCGTGGTGTTCACATAACCCGTTTTCGCTGGACAGTTTTCCCTCCTTTTTCACGTACTTGCTATCTGCTACTTTGGCTATCTGCAAATCGTATTTGGAACTCTACATCACTGCATCGAGAGAAAGTGATGAGATAATTTAAGGTAAGTTAATTTAGAAACTACTAGCGGGAAGTACCCGGCGTTGCCGGGTGAAAAAGACACACATCGACTTAGACCCACACAGACATCGACCCACACACGCAAACACATCTACTTACACACAGATATGGACTCGCACACACAGACATCCATTTTATATACACACACATGGAGTTACACACACAAATCGACGTACACACATACAGCGACTCACACACACACACATACGTAGACTCTCACACACACATCGACCTAAGCACACATATGGACTTACACACACATGGACCCACGCACACACATCGACTTACACACACATATGGACTAACACACACACATATGGACTCACACACACATCGACAGACATACGTAGATACACACACAGTGACTTACATACTCACATGGAGCCATACACACACATCGACTAACACACACACACATCGACTAAGACAACAACAACAACAACCGCCATTCGCCACTAAGTGGCGGTGACGTCACCACGACGCTTGTGCCAGGCCAAGTGCACCTTGAGGCCACGTGAAGTGTCGAACGCCCGCTGGCAAGAGGTCACGGGGCAGACCCAGCAGGTGCCACGGGTCGACTGACCGAGATGCCCGAGATGACTGGCTGATGCACCACCTGTGCCCCCTACCGTACCAACTTGCTGTGCTTTAGCCACCCGGCGCTCCGCTCGTTGTTGTGAGCGTCGCTCCTCTGCCCTCCGTTGTTGTTGGAGGGCGACTGCCTCCAACTGCCCAGTAGCGTCCTTCACGAGCCTCCTCCACTGAGGCCGATCTTGACACCGCTGGTACCAGTCATCGGTAAGTCCACTTAGCTCCACGTCCTCCCGTACCACATCACTCCATCTCTTCTCTAGCCCGTGCCGCGCCCGTTTAGCCCCCTCGATCCGGCCGAACAAAAGCTGTTTAGGCATGCGGTAGCTGGGCATGCGGGCTGCATGACCCAGCCAACGCAGCCTTGCCTGCCGGAGGAGCTCACCGATGGGACTTTGCCCAGATCTTTCAAGGATTTGTGAGCTCCTCACACAATCCAGCCTGGTTAAACCCAGGATGGATCGTAGGCAGGCCAGCCTAAATGTTTCCAACCGGCGAAGATGCTCCATTAGGGGGGTCCACGTTTCGCAAGCGTAGAGGAGGGAATGACCGTGGCCGAGAAGACCTGAAGCTTCGTGCGGAGCGACAGACCAGGTAGCTTCCACACAGCGTTATGAAACCGATGAAAATATAATGCCGCTCGACTGATTCGGAGTGAGACCTCTGCTGATAAACTGGAGCCGGTCATAAGCACACTGCCCAGGTATGGGAAACTCTCCACTCTCTCCACAACTGCCCCATCACCGATTGGGAGTTGAGGGGGTGGAGTGTCCGATGGTACAAAATACCCAGGCAGGTGCTTAGTTTTGGTGGGACTGATGGTAAGGCCCCACCTCTAAGTGGCACGCTCCAGTCTCAGCAGCAGCGTCTCCAACTCCTCTTCTGAATGAGCAGCTATTACCAAATCATCGGCATACATAACGTGGTTGACCAATAGGGAGCCATCCCTTGATCGCACCCGGGCGTCGATCAGCCTCCCATTATATCTGTACCAAATGGAAATTGCCCCGGTACAGCTATTGAAGGCTTCACGAACTACGCAGTTGAAATAGATGTTAAATAATGTGGGAGCCAGAGGACATCCCTGTCGCACCCCAAGGTGTGCAGGGAAAGGCTCCGACTCCCGGCCACGTAGTTTTACCCGGGCCCGCTCACCATCATGAAGGTCCTTAATGATCGTGAGCAGAGGGTCAGGGACTCCGAAAGCACGAAGAACAACCCTGAGCCCAGGCCTACTGATGGTATCATAGGCCTTGACCAGGTCAATAAAGCAGAGATGTAGGTCTTGTTGGAATTCCCTACACCTCTGCTGTAGCAGACGGACAGAAAATATGGCATCTGTACAGCACCGCCCTTTCCTGAAACCGCATTGGGGCTCCATAAGCCTCTCCTCAGCGTGTCTAGCAAGGCGATGTTGAATAATCCTTGCCAGGACCTTTCCCGGCACACTGAGGAGTGTGATGCCCCTGTAGTTGTTAGTCTGTGCGGTCCCCCTTCTTAAAGAGGGGGACCACCAGGGCATCCTTCCAGTCCTGCGATACCCGTCGAGCGGTCCAGACTGTTGTTATGATGTGATATAGGGCAGTCTGTGCACAAGCGCCACCCTCCCTCAGCATTTCGCTTGGGAGATCATTTCTGCCCGGTGCCTTTCCTGGTCTCAGACTCCGGATCGCCTTCAGTACTTCCTCAACAGATGGCACCTCAGCCAGCCACTCACAGGGGGTGACCTCCTCCAATATTTGAGGCATCGCAGCCTCAGCAGGGTTATCCCCACTTTGTGCCATGATGTTTTCCTGGCTGAGAGATTTTCCCTCCCCCAGGACCTCACAGAAATGCTCAGCAAATCTGCAAACCTGTTCCTGGGGGTCGGAGTTTGGATCACCATTTTTTCCCCTAATGATGGTAATAGGTATGGCGCTGCAGGTTACTTTTTTGATGGAGTTAAATAGTGATTTGTGATCGCGGGCCACTGAGGCAGATTCCATCTCCTCAGCAACCCGCGACCACCACCCATCCTTGCAGCGCCTTACGGCTCTCCGAACCTCCGAGCGAAGGCTGCAGTAAACCTCCTCATTCTCTGACGTGGGATGCTGTAGCCGATGAGAGTGGGCCTGTCGCTTTTTCTCAATTAACCTGAACACCTCCTCTGTCAGCCAGGGTTTCTGGGGAGGTCTGGACCGCGTACCCAAAGCAGACATTGCAGCTGCATGAGTCACAGTCTTAAACCTCGCCCATTTACCCTCGATATCAGGTGGAGTGGGGGACGATGCCAACCCCAGCTGCAAGCGATGATGAAATTCTCGCTTGCAACTTTCATCAGCTAACTGAGACCAGGCCACTTTTGGTTGAAATGGGATCCTGGCTGTACACCCACCACTGGAGTGGAAGAATGGCAGGCGCATCTTACAGATGACTAGTCGATGGTCAGAGGGCAGATCATCTCCACGGTAGGTCCTGGTGTCAAGGACATGGGCTCGCATCCGCTGGTCCGTCACTATGTAGTCCAGCAGATGTTCTTGCTTGGACCCGGCATGCATCCATGATGTTGTGGATGCGCTGATGCCGGAAGAGCTGCACAAAAATCTAGCAGCCTCCTACCGTTGTTATTGAGCTGATCTGGCCCATGCCTTCCAATCACTCCAGACCAGGTGCCAGCATCATGACCAACTCGGGCATTGAAGTCACCCAACAAGATGACTCTGTCCCGAGTGGCCACTTTAGCCAGCACCTGTGACAGGAGGTCATAGAAAGCGTCTGACTCATCGGCTTTGCCTGCATCCCTCCATGGATGTTCGTCTTCGGTGGGGGCATAAGTAACCACGACCACCACTCCTCGCCTCTGGTTGATGGGAAGGCGAGCCGAAAGTATCCTGGGGCTTACAGCTTCCCACACCTCACCGCCACGCTCCCACGCCCCCTTCATTCTTTTGTTCAGAAGAAGAGCCACTCCCTGTTGTTTGGCAGTCTCCTGCCCCGAGTGGAGGACTGTCCACCCCTCATGGTGGCAGGAGCCAGAACCGGTCCACCGGACCTCCTGAATGCCACAGAGATCTAGGCGGTACCGGTCCAGCTCCCGACAGAGGAGTGGCAGCCTCTCCTCCGCAGTGAGCGTTCGAACATTCCACGTGGCCATCCGCAATGGTTTTTTGTTGTTTCTGGAGGAGCCCCGAGGGTGAAAATTCAATCTCCTGGCTCCGCCAAATGGGGTTTGGCCAGGAGACGTCATAAAAGCCTGACCCCCCGGGGCCTCCGGCACAAGCTTATTAGTTACAGGTTTATATTTAACTCGTAGTTTAGTGGTGGTTAATTGAAGGTGGAGGGGTTACCAGCCCCTCGCACCCGTCCAGAGCCCCCGTTTAGCCACTGTGGTGGTCACAGACGCCATGAGGGGAGAGGCCAATGGGCATTGGCCCTCCCCCCACAGCACTGCCCACGACAGTGTTGCCCGTCCGGCACCGCGAGGAGGTAGGAGGTTGTTTTGCCGGAATAACACACACACAGCGACTGACACACACACATGGACTGACTCGCACACTTGGACTCACACACACACTCATAGACTTACACAGCAATCCCCAATGATGCACAGCTAGAGCAATGTTCTCTTTGAGAACAAAGGTCTTCCCAGTACTGGCAGGTGCATCAAGGAAAAAGAAGACTAGATTTGTAGTCTCAATGTCTTCCAAGATTTCCGTGTAGGCTTCTATTTGTGCATCCATCAGCTTTGGTTAATTTTTCTAAATACATTTAAGAAGCTGTAAAGCATGATAGCATATTTAACGTAGGATCTCTTAAGCAAGGACATGCAGGTTGTCCCTATAGGGTGTTGGTAGTCCCATAGACGGGAGGTATTTTCCACCAATAGAGTGCAGTTTGTCCTGAAGGAGGATGAGGGCCTGTTTGAAGATGACATCAGAAAAGTTGACGTCGAGGTTTGTATTTTCTCATTCAGCTCCGTTAAGGATCTCCTCACTCATGCCCTCTTTGTATTTTTGCCAGAGTCCCATGGGGTTAGATGGGCTGCAAACTTGAAGATTTATGCAGAAGAGCAATGTCAGTTGGAAAGGGGACTGACCAACAGAAGCTTCTGTCATAGCGTTATGAAGATGGTGATCATGCGCAAGAATTGCACGAAGATTGCAA